TGTGCCAGGGGACAAAATCTGTTTATATGGCATCCCTCGATGGAGCTGGGATACTTCGCAGCTCTGAAAGGCCATTCTGCAAATGTCAAAGGGCCACCACCGTTGCTGGCCGGCGCGGCCGCCTCCGCAGCCCCCTCTCCCCCACTGCAGGGCCAGAGCACCACTGGAGCCCGCTTCCCGGAGCATCCCTTGGGGGTGACGGCGAGACGGGGCACCAGGGCTGGACCGCCTGACTGCCACCCTCGGGGAAGGGCAGAGGACCGCGACCTTCAGCAGCACCGTGCCAGCTGAAACCAGCTCCCCAAAAAATCCGAATGCAGCCACAAGAGCTTAAAAAGTCATCCCCAAATCTTTGGAGAGCAGTCAGTGTTTTAGCAGAGTGACAGGTCTACAAGAGACAACATAGGAACGGTGAAGCCTGTTGGATAAACCTCACTCCCTCAGTCCCACTAAAGCCGCTAGAAGCCAAAACACTTTCGAAGAAGCATTAATTCAATAGCCCTTCCCGTTGGCCGGCGGGAGAAGCCCTACGCCCATGACGCCGTCCCAGTAAGAGCTCCTTTTGTGGAGGGCAGAAGAAGCCCGGCTTTATTGCCGCAAACATTGGGCCATTGTGCGATGCATTCCTCGCTTTGTGCCAGGGGACAAAATCTGTTTATATGGCATCCCTCGATGGAGCTGGGATACTTCGCAGCTCTGAAAGGCCATTCTGCAAATGTCAAAGGGCCACCACCGTTGCTGGCCGGCGCGGCCGCCTCCGCAGCCCCCTCTCCCCCACTGCAGGGCCAGAGCACCACTGGAGCCCGCTTCCCGGAGCATCCCTTGGGGGTGACGGCGAGACGGGGCACCAGGGCTGGACCGCCTGACTGCCACCCTCGGGGAAGGGCAGAGGACCGCGACCTTCAGCAGCACCGTGCCAGCTGAAACCAGCTCCCCAAAAAATCCGAATGCAGCCACAAGAGCTTAAAAAGTCATCCCCAAATCTTTGGAGAGCAGTCAGTGTTTTAGCAGAGTGACAGGTCTACAAGAGACAACATAGGAACGGTGAAGCCTGTTGGATGAAAAAAAAAAAAAAAATCAGCAAAATAACAGGATTTCTGAGAAGCCATAATTATTACAGGGGAGATGATAACTGCCTCCCTCTGACTGCTGCTGTGCCCAGGCACTCGCTCGCTCCCGTGGGCAAGCGGGTACCGAGGGAGGCAGCTACGACGTTGACCTGCTTGCAGGGGAAGAGAGGTGGAGAGCTAATCGGCCATAAAGGATAGGAGAGGATAAAACAGAAGAGATTTTTAGATAATTAAAGCATGCAGAAAAGTATGCTCTAATAGGGTATTTGACTGTTTTGTGATGTCCACATACAACAATTCCCGCTACAAAAACATGCTGTCCTCTGCAGAGCGATGCTGGCAAGGCACTGCTTGGAGGTAATGAACCACCATTTGTGCTCAACCAACCTGTGAAAGTGAGCACGGTCTTTTTAAAACAGTGAAAAAAGTTTTTTCTTTTAAAGAAGTCCTGGAGGAGTTGGGCTGCCAAGGCCTGATCTCCTAAGGTCAGCAGGGCCCAGTGCGATTTACTGGACTGCTAAAACAGAGCAGGGTGGAAATACAGCTCCCACCCAGAAAAGAGAGATTTCAAGAGTGTAATGACAGTCTGTAATGACACAAAATGAAAGTCTTCTGGATGCAAAATGAGAACTCCTTCCCCCAAATAACCTTCACTAGTCAGGAAGGCAGAAGGAACATGGGCCATCTCTCATCTACAGTCACCACCTTGAGCACCCAGGGGACCCTTGCTGCCCAGGCTGGGGAAGCCCCAAGAAAAGGTTGACCTTCATGTATCTGCGCTTTCCAACTAACAGAAATCCCCCAAATGCTGCACGACACGGTGCTCAAGGTGGGTCGGGTCTCTGACCTTCCCTGGACCGTTCCCAACGCCACCAGGACTGATGCTCCCGACTACCTTTTTCCTCCTGACCTCTTCCCTTCTCATCCCATCCAAACAGCTCTGCATATCCAGACTGCGGCTCTCCCTACCCAGCTCCTTCAGAGATCGCAGCCCTCACTCCAAGACGGTAACCAAGGTTCTTGGCTGGCCCTGCTGACCGTGCTCTCACCAGCAAGGCTCTGGCAACGAGGGTCACGAGATCAGCCTCCCACAAAGAAGGCATACATGGGACCAGGAGTGCCCCGCTAACAGCGTCCCCCTTTCAGACGCGCAGCATCCTCTGCTTCAGGGGACAGAGTAACGTATAAATGCTCTCAGGGACGCTCTGCTTTAATTCTTTTTAATATGAACCCAAGGCATGAGAGCCCCTTGAGGGCGCAAAACATCTCTGAATTAACACTTTGGCATTCATATGCATGCGCTACCACTTATTTCTTAAATGGAAATGAGTGACTAGACACCTCCCTAACATGACTTAGGCCGGGCCCGCGGCGCGAACCGTGCACAAGCCACGGTTAGACGCTGCAGAAGCGTCTCCCAAGTCAGCAGCAAGGAAAGGCTGCTCAGTCAGCAGAGGAATCGAGCGCTGTACGCTTCGACAGGGCGTTTCGCCGCAGGACACGAACCAAAACTACCGACACCTCCAAGCAGCACCTCGGAGCTTCAGTTCCCTACCGCCCTTCTCCTTAAGGGGAAACTGAGGCCCCGGCGGATGGCGCAACTTAACCAACTGAATTCATATTCCCCGCTTTACCACAGATCTGCTTCCGTTAGCAACAAAGACAGCATATTACATATTTAATACAGGGCTACTTTTTTTAAGGGAACTGAAGAAAATCCATCCCAGTTGAGACGGTTAACCCGGGTTGGCACGCGACAGTCCAAAAAAACCCCCAGGGCGGCTGCCGTTCGCCGCTCGCTCACCAGCTAAGCCAAAGCGATCGGCAGAAGCGGAAAGGTGCATCGCCTCGTTCGGGGCACCGGGGCGAGCGAGTTTAACGCAGGGGACGCGGCGGCTGCACGCGAACGGGGCATCGAGCAGGTGCGCGCAGGCAAATTATTTCCACATAAGACGCAGGCTTAAACGGCCAGCTCCCCTCACGAGCTTCTTATTTTGGCACAAGGTTGCTGGAGCTGGATGCGCGGCAGGAGAAGGGTTACCACGAGAACAAACCCGAGCTTCATCCCTTCGCTCTCGCGCTGCATCTCCCCGGGAGAGCGCCGCGCCGCGATGCCCCGGGGTGGCCAGGTGCAGATGCAGAGCTCGAGCAGAGGACCCTGCTCACAAAAACAGCAAAAAAAAAAAAGAAAAAGGAAAAAGGAAAAACCAAAACAAAAAAACAAGCTTGCCAGCTGCAGCCTGTGCACCCCGGCACGTGAGTCACAGCCCTCATGTTTCCACTCGGCCGTGACCTTGGCCAAGTCACTCCCTACCTCACTTCTTACTCCTCCCTTCCTCTCTGGACTATGAACATGTCCAATCCAGTTATCTGTAGTAGACCTCTATATGGTGTAAACCAAACCTGGTTTCATCCGAGGTTTCCAGGCTTTACTGCAACGCAGACAACATACTGCCCCGTTCCAAAATTTTTCAGCCCCCTCCGCCCAGGCCGACCGGACCCGGCAGGCGGCTGCAGCCGAGCGCGATCCAGCACCGCGGCAAGCCGACGTTTGAGCTAAGCACGGGTTTTCATCGAGCGAAAGTCACCCAAACTAGCCGAGTCAGAAAACGGCAAAGCCATCTGCCATCCCGGAGGGGACACTGCGTTGATCTCCCCAGACAATCAAGTCCAAAAAAAAAAGAGAGAGGGAGGGAGAGAGACCTTTGATTAGTGGCTGCGGAGCCCATTCACAGTGACAGCATGTCAGGTCAATGTTCACTCCAAGAATCAACTCTCTGCCTCAGGAAAGGGATTTTTTTTTTTTTATGAAGTTTTTATTCGATGGTCTGCATTTGAGGTCTAGTTACTAATCAGTGTGTTTGGCTGGTCAGACGGCGCACTGATACAGAGTTCGCTTCGAAATATCACTAATAATCATTATATGGTGGTGCTTTAAAAAGCAGCTTTTACAAAAGCCTGTGCAAGCTGGCGGCAGTGCATCAGGCACGCTTTGTCTGCCCCGAGAGCTCAGCCCTCAGGCAGGCTGTCCCTCAAATCAGCCACTGTCCAAACCGGTCCGAGTCCAAAATTATGCTACTGTTTTATTCAGAGACTTTTCTGAATAGCGATCATTTTTTTTCCCTCAAGCCAGCACGCAGGAATTAAGTTGTGCAAGTAAATGTTTGGATGGTGCTTAAAAAAAAAAAAAAAAAGTGGCTCAAGGTTGTTTTAATGTAAACAAAATAGAAATTGTTTGCTGGCGTTGGGCAATACTCACATGCCTCATCTCCAGCGGGGATCGCATGCTGCTGGGCGCTGCGAGCCCTCAAGGCGAGATGCGTTCCTCACCCTGAAGATCATCCCATCGTCCCCTCTGCTCCTGCAAGGTTCGCTCTGGCGTCTGCCCTGTTCGAGTTACCAGTTCCCGCGCCAGACTTCTAGCTACTTATTATTTCTTTAAACTCTATATATTTTCCTTTCAACTCACTTTTTTTTTTTAAATGCTGTTTTTGACCAGTCTCTACTGCAGCAGGAACAGCAACAAAGATCTACTAAGACTGCACCAGCCCAGCGTGGCACGCCGGCCCTGGACCCCGCTCCTCGCCCATCCCGGCACAGGTAGCGGGCAGACAGGTCTAGCGCGGTCCTCGTGCGACCTGAAGCCACCCCGCTCTAACGCCGTCGAAACGACAAGTGTACTTGCCCCGCTGGATTTCACTTCCCACTTCCTTTCTCGCACATGCCGCAAGGCATGAGGAGGCCCATCTGCCTCTCTCATAGCAATACCGATGCCCCCGGTTCTGCAACACAGACAACTGACCTACTTTTTCCTCCCTCTTTAAATACCTAGAGGTCATTTCAGTCTGCGGCAAAACCCATTGCGCGCGGAATAGAAATAAAGAGCAGCTCTCTGTTAGCCCCGTTCCCCTTTGCTCCTCCTGCCCAAACCTTTCTCCAAATTTTGCTGTGCGCTCCCTCTTCCAAATGCCTGATGATCTGTAACTTCCGGCTTCCTCTGGGCTGTAAAAAGGTGGAAGAGGAAAAGCTAAAGAGGTCCTTTCCCGTTTTCAGGGTCTGCATCCACACAGGCCCACTGGGTGCAATTTGAGTAGACCGATTCCACTTGGATCTCCTTCACGACTCGGAGCCTCTCACCGGAAGTCTCCAGAGATATTTCTTGGCTCGTTCCACACAGTAAGGTGTGGGGAGACATCGTTTCTCCAGCTCTCTCCGATGACTCAGGGTTAGTCCATTCTGCTAACCCAGGCACGCCGGGAGTCCCTCTCCCCACTCCCGACCCTCAAAGATTAAAATTCGCCCAATCTGCCTTTCCGGCCTTTTGATTAGATCTGACCAAACGCAGATTTTCTAGTCTCTGGCAAGTTCTGATGCTTCCAGGCATTTTATTCTGTACCTGAAACAACCACAAAAAAAGGCAAGGGAAAAGCTCTACGCTTGCCACCCCCAAGAATCACCTTCGCCAACAGCAGGGCCACCCTGGTCAACGAAAGCCTCGCTTTTAAGCTCTGATCTTTAATAGGTTATGGCATCAAAAAAACCCCAACAAATAAACAGAAAGGAAGGCCATTAACGCAGGGCTTGGGTTTGTCTGTTTGTTTGTTTGCTCTTTCAGAGAAAACTAAGTAAAACGGTCACAAACAGCATGCCCCTGCAGAACGCGTTAATTCGACGCAGCCGCCGTTTTGGCAGGCGTTCAACACCCGGCGAGCCTGGACCCAGCCCTAAAAGGGGACGAGACCGACCCCGGCTCAAGGAAGTCAGTGATGGGAAGGGGACCGCGTTCGTCACGGGATCGCTCAGCAGCATCAGCTACGGCCACTTTCTCGACGCAGACAAGGAGAGGGCTGAGGCGGGTCAAACACCCGGCGAGGCAGGAGCCCGACGCTGCCGTCGGGCGACCGCTCCTTCCCCGATGCTCGGCAAAGGCAAACCACAAAAGCTCCGCCTGCCTCCGATGCAACGGCTATCCCTTCGGAAAAAAAAAAACCCCATGCCCCCCGCGGCCTCCACATCCCGCCTGAAAGCCCGAAGGAAATCCCGTCCGATAGGGACTAATGGACGCACCAGGCATTAACGGGGAGCTGCTTACGAACAGCTCAGAAATGAGAGTCAACTCCCTTGGGGGCTGCTAGGTCTTTTGCCACAACTACGGATATTTTTATAATCCGGCTCTTGAAAGAGAGGAAGAACATGCTTCACGAATTTTTCTATCTTTCTATCAGGACAGCTTCCTTCCTGCTTTTTTTT